GCGCGGCGATCGCGCCGAGCCCGCTGAGAGCGGCAGCCGGAGCAGCAGCCGCGGACGCCGCCGCAAGAGCGCCTCGGCCACGTCCAGCAGCGGGGGCCGTAAGGAGCGCGACTCGAAGGTCCGGCGGGGCCGCTCGCGCACGGGCAAGGAGACGCCGTCCGCCTACCGCGAGCCGCCCAAGGCCTACCGCGAGGACAAGGCCGAGCCGCGCGCCTACCGCCGGAAACCGCGCTCCCCTAGCCCGCCGGGCCGGGACGACAGCCCGGGCTCGCACCGCGCTGCTCCTGGTGCGCGGAGCCGTCGCTCGCCCAGCCCGGCCGGGGGCAGCCCCTACGCGCGGCGGCCGCGCTCTCCCAGCCCCTACCGCCGCCGTTCGCGCAGCTACAGCCGCGCATCGTCCTACGAGCGGGGCGGCGACGTGTCCCCCAGCCCCTACAGCGGCGGCAGCTGGCGGCGCTCGCGGAGCCCCTACAGCCCGGTGCTCAGGTGAGTTGGATTCTGGGGCACACCTCGCCGGGGTCGGGGAGGCGGCGAAGGGAAAGTTCCGAGTTTGAGACTTGTTGCTTTTATACGCTACTTGGTCCCTCTGGGCTGCCCTTTGCTTTTCTCCAGCCAGGTCGGCGTGGGTATACCCAGAGGTGGCTCAGTATGCCCTGATTCTGGAAGCTCTTTAGGAACAGGTTCCTTGAGGGTCTAGGAGTGCACAGCAGCATAGAGAGTGGTGGAAGAAAGGGTAGTCAGTCTGGGACTGATGTCAATGTGATATGGGTCACAGACGTTAACTGGAAAAGCGGCTCTTCTTGATGTATTCTTTATTAGGAGAGACCCTGAAACAAGTCAATAGTAATAGATTGTGAAGATGAGTTACTTTGTGGTACTGTTTTGTGAGGTCTCTTTTTACCTGATCTTTAAAGGTTTTAATTTTAAAAAGTACAAAAAAAGAGGTTGTGGTTTCTCTGTTGGATTGTGATCACATCATTTGTCGGTAACACTGATCGAGGTGGTGCAACACAGTAAGAGAATGTATTTGCATATTGTCATATCATAAACCTGAAACTGCTCACCCTTTAGTTAACGAGGCCTTTTGATATTGGCATCTTTGTTCAGAATGTATTAATGGATATAATTCAGTCTGGTGAAGTTTCAGTAGAATTTATGCAGCTGTGCGCCTTGCTTCTTTTATACAGTGGTATTTTCCAAAAAATGTGTGTAGTGATAGATGTTTATCCGTTAAGCAGAGTAAATTAAAAAAGGACTTGAGTATGCTGTACGTTTTTGTAGGTTCTTAATTTAAAGATGTCTGTCGATTCTAGGCCTTATGGTAAAAAGTACAAAATGACCTTTGGATTGCTGTTCATTTCACGTTGGTGTTGGTAATGCCAAGTGGATGCTGAATCCCTCTGTGTGTTGGCTGTGTCAAATCTCAACGTACAGCAGATTTACCTGTAAAATTTGCGCTATTGAAAGTGTTAGTCTAGTAACTGTAAAGATGTGAGTAGAAATCGCTGTTTGTCTTTAAATGACAAGAGCTCTATATTTTTTCATTCTTACAGTGTTTGAGCACACATAATATCATCTGTAACTTCAAATTGTGCTTTTTTATCTTAGAACAATTTTTTAATCTTAAAGTATGATATTTTGGGATTGTCAGAGGATTTTCATTTTTGCAGTAGGGTATGTTGTAGAAACTCATTAGTTTAAGGGTCAGGGCAATAGCAATTTTGAGTGTGGTGCAATTTTAAGAATGCATTTTGTATTAGGTATTTCTCAAGATTCTTCTTTATATAATAGTTGTGTTTATATGTGTATTATGTAGTAAAGGTTTGTATGGTTAGGGCTGTCCATATTTAACAAATACTTGTTGAGCACCTTATTACTCTGAAGTGTTTTAGGGACAGGAATATATCAGGGAAGAAAGGCAAAGTCATGTCCTCAGGGAGGTTACAGTTTAAAAATCTGAAGGAGCAGTCATTAATGAATCTTTATGGAGTATATATATTGACCATTGGTATTGTTGAAAAGATCAGATTTGGATGAACATCAGTGTTCCTTGCAGATGGCCATTTGGTATGTCCCTGAATCCGTCTAGTAGTGGGAAGCACATTGCTGTGAGGCAACCTTCGATTAGACATTGGATTCGAGTTCTGGATCTGGCCTGCTCAGTTGCTTGGCAAAATTCTTCCTTTTTTAAAAATGTATTTAGTACAGGGTCTGTAGGGTCTCACTACACAGATTGGACTCGTAGTGATTCTCCTGTTTTTCCCAGCCTCCCTAGTGCTAGGATTACAGGCGTGCACACCCACCATGCCAAGTCTCGAGAGATTTTCGTTTAAAATTATTTCAAGTAAAGTCTGTCATTTGTTAAGTATTATAGGCCTACAGAATTCTAAGATGGTCAAATTGTTGTTGACTGGTTTGAAGTGTTAGAATTCTTTGTCGAAACAAATCCATTTCTTTATTTTCAAGACTGATTTAGAATAGTATAAAGCAGATGTAAAGACAGTTGTCATGTCTTCTAAGTCTTCTCGAGGTCTAAAACTCATTTATGGTTTTCAGGTTTTGTTTTTCATTGTATAATATTGCATGCCCTTAGAATGTGGGGTCCAGAATTAATAGCTAAAATAATTGAGAAACTTGAACTTTTGTTTTAAGATCCCCAATGTTTAGTAACGATGAATTGAACTCACTTGCACAGCTTAATGCAGTTTTAATTCTAGAATCTCATAGCTGTGGTAAGTACTGTATGTTTTTTTCAGCAATAAAGTGCCAAATTATATACTACATGAAGGCAACGTTTTTGCCCACCATTGGTTTTTCTAGTGCATCATGCTGTATCTGACCATATATAATTGTAATGGGTGAGGGAATGATGTAGTTTTCTGAGCATGTACACTATTACTATGGATGTCGATTGCATACTTTGAGTTTAATATAGACCATATGTTGTGCTGTAGGAAATAGCAGTGTGATCTTTTTCCAGCTCATAGAGTTTACATACTAATGAATTGTGTAGGTAATTTTAGGAAAATTCATACACATTCAAAACAATATAGAAACCAGATATATAATATACATATATATATACACACACATATATGTGTGCATTGGTGTTACATTCTGGAATAAATCCACTCCACTTTAATGACTTATACTTCAGAACTTTTTTTTTTTTCCACCTCAGTTCATGCCTTTTTCGATTCCTGCTTAGCTTTTACTTTTCCCCAAGAGTAGACTACTCACCATGTTTTCTTTACTACTTGATTCGTGAGGTGTGCAAAGTCACATAATAATACTGGGTAGCCCTTTAGTAAATGTAAGATATTAAAAAGAGGGACAACTCAGGAAAGGAAGAGAATGATAGAGATTGCAGTGTTTTATTATGGGCCAGGCATTAATGAATGCCTGACATACTTTTATCCCTAAATCTTTGTGTTAGCTGCAAACATTCCCATTGATGGATTGGAAAACAGAAGCTCTAAAAAAGTAAAGTCATTTGTTCCAAGGTCAGTTTGGTTTTGGATTTAGATTTTGGACTGATTTGTTCTTAGTGTTGTTTCATATAGCTACTTGGCTGCTAACATTTGTGAGAGGTGGTCATTTCATTTAATGATGTGTTTTGCTAAAATTTTATGTGTTTGGTTATTACTGTTCCATGGTCATTTTTTAGCATTTTGAGTACTCTTAAAATTTTTTCCTGATGATTTTTTCTGGTCATTTGTCTTCATTTGTGAGTTTGTTTTGTTTTGTGGTACTGGCGCTTTATCCAGGTCATGCACTTTTCTAGGCATGCTTTCCATGACTGATTTATACCACAGAGTCCTAATCTGTAGTTTATATGAGCAATGAGATTTGAATCTTGGACTTTTTTCCTCACATATTTATTAGTGGTTTACTTAGTTTAAATACATTTTGTTTCTCACAAGGTAATGGAAACCAGTCTGCCAGATACCAGTTGCATTTTTACATTTGCTGATTTCCTTTATATATATTCTAGGTTTGGGGAATAATTGTTTTGATTTGGAGGGAATTTAAGAACCTTCTGCCTCTTGCTTGTATGTTACTAGAATGAATGGAGAGTACTGCTAATCACACTGGTACAAACAACAAATTCAGACCTACAGTTTATATTTGCAGTATGTTGTACTGGTCAAGATAAATAATTTTTTTTTGTTGGTGAGTTTGAATTACTCTTTAAAAGTTTTCTGAATAGATTATATCACACTTTTTATTTCCCAACTCTAAAAATTTGTAGTGTATTTGAAAAGTCTCTTGAAAGTAAATGTTGCTTAACATTCAAATTTAAGATATTTGTAATCTTTTCCCTTATTTGGTATGATTTCTGTGGATATCTCTTGGTGGAACTCGTATTGTTACTTTTGGTTTGGGTGTCTTTGTTTTGTATATGGAGATTTGTAAATTTTGGAATGTGTTGGAAGTTTTTGTTTTTGTATCAAGCTAGAATCAACAATCACTTGTTTGGAGAGATTTTGCTCTTGAATTTCTACAAGTCCAAATTGTGGGAGAATCTAGTGTTATTAACATATCTGAAAAATATCTTTTAACTTTTATTAGTTCATGTTTGCAGTATGTTATTAACGATGAGAAGATGAAGTGGATTTATATTAAAGGATATAATGTAGGGAAAGACTGGAATTGTCATAAAGTAGAAATGAAAAGAGTAGTGAGGAACTGAAAGTGTAGATTATCTGCTTTCTCACTGTTCTTAGCTTTCAGTTGCATTGAGACACTTTCACTGTGATGTGTGACACTCAAAACACAGTTTATTTAACATTAAATTATTTCAACTCTTGGAATCATTTATAGTTTTTGATATTGCTCTTTTATCTTTTTTGGTACTGGGGTCAAACTCAGGACCTTGTGCTTGCCAGGCAGGTGCTTTGCGCCTTTAAACTGTCTCCCTGGTCAGATACTGCTCTTGATTACCAGTTTTCACAGACAGTTGAGCCTCACAGTAGACATTTTCAGTTTAGTGCTCAGAAGTGTAAAGAATTTAAAATCCCTCCTGAATACAAACAGCTGAGGTGATCAACCTTGATATTTTGAAGAATATTCTTCTAGACTTCTTTATGCATCCATGTATAAGGATATAATGATTTTGTATTTATAAGGATAAATACAATGGTATTTTGTACCCTGTTACTTTTTATTGGGTCCTGTAGTGTTATATGAGTGTAATGTGGCTTGTTTGACTAAATCCACTTTGATGAAGAACTCTTATTTTTGTAAAGTGTGTATGTTAATAGCAATTATATTTCTGTGCATTTTTCCCACTACTTTTTCTACATTGGATTTGTTAGAGGTAATATTTGTGAGTCAAAGGTAGTCGGCATGTTTATAATTTGATGCACTTTCAGATTGCTCCTTCAAAGGCTTTTGCCTTTTCAACAGTGTGGAAGTGTCCATTTTCTCAGTTTCACCAACACTTGCAGTTGTTAGATTCTGTATTTTATTGTTGTTTTTATTTG